GTTGTTGGCGCATTCGGAGGTCACGACGGAATTGGTAGAGAACGTGATTCTGACTGCCTGGGCGGAGACGGAGGCCGTTAGGAAGAGGGCGTCGGAGAGCGTGGGGGCGTATGCCCTTGTCACTGGCGGTGATAACCGTGGTGGCGGGGGCGGGAACAAGGGGGATAGGGGGAAGACGAGAGGACAACGGAGGACGGCAGCGCGGCAACAGCAGCAACAACCGCAGCAGCCACGGCAGCAGCATCAGCCGTACTTCAAGCAGCAGCAACAGGTATACCGGCCGCCGTACCCGCCTGAGATAAAATATTGTGACCATCACAACACCTCGTCCCACAGCAACGAGGAATGTCGCTTGCAGCGGGGTTGGGGAGGTCCCTCGGGCGGCCAAGGTGCGAGCTACGGCGGAAGGCACGGGCCCCAGCATGGGGGCCGGGTTGTTTCTGGAGGAGGACGTCATCAGCAGCAGCCGGCAGGAGGATTCGGGGGGCGTGGCGCCGCTTCCGGTGGGAGGGGGAGGGGCCCTTTCCACCAGGGACCGCCGGGTAGCAACCTCCCCGCCTACCCTGTACCTCAGCGGGGCTACGACTACAGCGCCTACCCCCCCCACATGTACCGGCCGCAAGGAGCTGAACCTCCCATCCACCCGAATGACCCTCGCAAGCGGTGTGAGAACTGCGGTGAACTCGGCCACAACCATCTGTTCTGTCCTTCGCATGTTGATGTCGGAAGGCCAGCTGGCATGCCGGTCGCCAACGCGCCGCCTAGGCCCCCAACGCCCCGGCCGCCGGCCGGTGGCTACAGCCAGCGGCCGCCGTGGGCCCACTCGTACGGGCAGGCCAACACCGCGCAGCAGTACGGCGGAGCAGCAGGAGCGACGGTGGCGACGACGGCAGCACCATCTACGGGGGGGCATGCAGTGACGCACGTGACCGGTGTTTATCAACAACCGGTGACGCACGCGAGCGGTGTGTACGAATACCCACCCCAACAGCAGCAGCCGGAGTACCTATCCCCCCCCTTCCAACAGCAGCAGCCAGTCCCCGCCCAATACGCCTCTCCCGCGCCTTCGACCGGAGCACCTTCGTCGGCAGGGGGGACTTTGCATGCGTGTGTTGTAAAGGACGTGTCAAGTGAGTACCAGAGTGAGATTTCGGGTGGATTCGTAGAGGGTGAGGGGTATGCCTTGATGAACTCTATACCGGTTGTGAGGGCGGAGCNAATACGCCTCTCCCGCGCCTTCGACCGGAGCACCTTCGTCGGCAGGGGGGACTTTGCATGCGTGTGTTGTAA